ATGATAAACTGGACTCTGTTATAAATCCAACTAAATGTGGAAAGAATTTGTTTCTGACTGTCGTTCCTCACGTCGTCACTCTGACTAGGAAGAATCTGGCAATATGTTTAATATAAATCATGATGATTAAATCTACAAGTTAGTGATTTTAGTAACTACTTGTGGTTAATACAAAGGTTGTATAAAATACAAAGATGTATGAAACTGTTGGTTACTTCCAACACCATGTGCTCCCATCCCTCGTGTTATACCACAGTGCTGCTCCATTAGTGAAATATTTTTTTTAATAACCTTTTTATTTTCATAAATTTAGTATAGGTTACTTTGAACATTTTTGGCCAAGACTATGTCTGGTAGCAGCATCAATCGTTCTGGAGGTGTTAAGAGGAAGAAGGTTGTCCTAACAATTAAAGACAAGTTACTTGTTATACACCTCAACCAGTGAGGCATCACAGGCAAGCCAAGTGCCTTCAACAAGTGAGGCGTCACAGGCAAGCCAAGTGCCTTCAATAAGTGAGGTGCAAGCCAAGTGCCTTCAACAAGTGAGGCTTCACAGGCAAACCAAGTGCCTTCAAGTGAGGCTTCAACAGCTGGCAGTCAAAACTAACTTTGCTTAATGAACTGTACAGTAATTTTAAGTGTTAATTTTAGTGTTGTGTTAGTATAGGTTACGTAAATGGTTAAGAATTCTTAACTTTAAGATGTGTGGCATCAATCAAGAAGACGAACACCAATAAGGTAAGTTGAGGTTTCTAGTTGAATATTTAATAATTATATGTGGCAAGGCAATTCAAATTATTTTGTTGGTAGTATAAAAATATTTGGAAATGGTCACTTTTGGACTTAGAGGTGAAAAAGTACCATTATCCAGAACACGTGAATATCAGGCTGAGGGGCCTTCCCATATAGTCCAGATAAACGAGTGGAGACAGTATTTTTGGGTCGGGTAGGGGAGCTTTATGCTCTCCTCCGGTGCAGGGGTTTCTGCTCTTTCAGTCCTGGTGATAGGTTTGTTCGATTGCAGGTGTCTCCTTCTTTTCTGGGCCAAGAATGAGACGGCAGCGTTCTGTAGGGGGTCCTTGGGTCGTTGATGCTTGGTTGGTCAGGCCGGGGGTGCATCGTGTGTTGTCCGGTTGCGGCTCTCTGCCGTTATTTGCACGCCACGGCCTCGGTGGCCGGGGATGCACTTTGGGTTGACTCGGTTTCCCTTCTTCCCCTGTTCCTGGGCTCAGGTCGTCAGCAGGGTTAACACTTTTGCCCTCCGTTAATACCACTGGCGTTAACCGTTTTTATCTTGAGTTTGAGTCGGTGATGCGAGTCGGTGATCCATATTTTAAAATATTTCTTAAAATTAAATTTTATCTGATAAATCTGGGAGTGATTTTAAAATGAGTGCCTTTAGAGTGCGCACAATTTGATACCCAAATGAAAGATGTAACACAAAAATTGATGTCAGAACACTGGAAAGATTATAAATACGTTTTTGGTCCAAATTTTAAAATATTTGTTAAAATTCTATTTAATGTGCTATTATTATGGGACTAGTTTTATAATGCGCACCTTTAGATTATGAACAATTTGATACCAAAATGAAAGATGTAACACAAAAATTGATGTCAGAACACTGGAAAGATATAAATAATTTTGTGATGATGTGTGTCCAAAATTTAAAATATATGTTAAAATTCCATTTATTGTTGGATTATTATGGGATTAGTTTTAAAATATGCGCCTTTATTTTGCGAACAATTTAATACCAAAACGAGCGATGTAACATGAAAAGTGATGTTATCAAAGTGAACGAGTACAGTATACACATTAGGTTGCGGGTGTGCCAATTAGTGGTCATTCACAGATAACTTTAGGCTTTGCTAAGGGGAGTCACATCGGGCTTTTGGACAATATATGCATACACACCTGCTGGAAATTTAATTGGGAACACAATGATACCAAAATGAAAGATATAGCACGAAAATTAAGGTGAGAAAACTGAAATGAGTATACACATTTTACTGATTTTGTGCGCTCGTGGGTAACTTTTCCTGACTTTAGGCTTTGCAGTGAGGGGTCATGCTGGGCTTTTGGACATTATATGCATATACACCTGTAGGGAATTTATTGCGAACACAATGATACCAAAACGAACGACGTAACACAAGAATTAAGGGGAAAAACTGAAACGAGTATACACATTTCGGTGTCGCCGCACGCTTGCCTGCACCACCAGGAGTAGTTCGTGCATACAAGCGGAGCACACGCCCGGTGCGTGAAAGTGTTAAGTCTAGCCAGCCTGTGGTCTATCTCAGGACCCACGACATTCATAAGTTTGCTGCGTTGGCTTCCGTCTTTGGTAACATGTCATGGGTTGACATTCGGGCCCTGGTGGTTTTTGGAGGTCGAACAGGGTCCTGGCCGCTCGCTACCTTGTGAATGTCCCTAGGCCTGGCAGGGTCTGCGTAGCATTGAGTCGGCGGTTGCGGCCATTTGTCTCGACTTCACGTTGAGGAGTGAGGACGGACCGCCTCCCAGGCAAGTCCCTATTTTTTCCTTATCTTTGGGTAGTTAGCTCCGGGGAGCTGATGGGGCTTCCCCCAGAAAACCAGCATTGAATGTAATGAAACGCCATTTTCTGGGTGAGTCCCGGAGGCTCCCTGGCATCCCTCCCTCCCTCTGGTCGGTGGTGTTTTTCACTCTTTTTTGACATCCAGCCTAAGAACTGTAGGTTGGGCCGCCAGTGGGTGGGTCTGGGGTTCCCCCTTCCTCCTCCTGGAAAGGGGGAAGGGTTGTGCAGACAGCGGCACGGTGACATGATGACGTCATGCTCGTTTGCTAATTTTCGTTTGGGGAGTTATGTCCACTTGTTCAGCCTTAGGTTGCAATAGTTTTACCAGAATAGGGGTTTGTTTTGGGACACCTACCTTTCTGGGTTCCTATCCCGGTCAATGGCAGACATAGAATGCTCCCAACCACAGGTGGGTCTCTATAGGCCATTGCTCCTCGTGCTTCTCTAGAGGGGGCCAGGTCCTGGCTCGTGGTCCCTGGTAGGCAAGAACTCTTTGCATTGACTGATGCCAGAAAGTTATACATATCCATATGGCCTGGATAGCTCCGGGGAGCCTCCGGGACTCGCCCAGAAAATGGCGTTTCATTACATTCAACGCTGGTTTTTTATATCACAAGTGATTCAACAAGAGGATAGATGTTTGCCATTCAGTACCTTCCTCCCTTAGGTAAAAGTGACCATGTCTTTTTGGGTATAAAGTATGCAATGCATTATAATCTGGAAGGAAATGAGGAGGTTGAAACAGTTGATAAATCTGATTTCAGGAGAGGACATTATGGGGAACTTAGAAATTTCTTTAAGGAATTTGACTGGAAAGACTTGTTGTTAGGCAAGGAAGTAAATAAGATGTATGCCAAGTTTTGTGAAATACAGTGGAACCTCGAGTAGCGAACGTTGGACATGGTGGCACTCAGCATGGGGCCTCTGGTGGGGGTCTTTGCTTTCGCCTCGGCTGCATCAGCTGCATCCCATGCTGTCCATTTCCAAGCTCCTGGTGGCAGTGACCATTTCCTTGCCGTCCGACTTCTGGGTCGTCGGGCTCATTTGACCACTTCTTTGGTTCAGCATTTGCCCTGGGTCTCCTGTCTGCCTTTCTTTCTCCTTCTGAAGCATTGGCTTCTCAGTTCCTTCTTTTCGTGTTTATTGTCCAGTTTGGGGTCCCGTCCTCTGGGCTTTGTTATCCTTTTTGTGGCAGTTGGTCAGGGCTAGGGCCTTGCCTATGGTGGGTCAAGGTAGGCCTTTGGGGTAGTCAGTTACTGGGTCTTCTGTGGTTCCTGGTCTGTTCTCCATTGAGTCAGCTAGGTCTCACTATCTCTTCTGTGGGTGGCCTCCCTTCTGCTCATGCTGGCTCTCTTCATCCTTCCCTGGGCGGTCAGGGACGGTACGCCCGGTTCTCTTCTCCTGTTCCATATCTGTGGGCATTTTGTTTTACCCTTGGTCAGCATTGTTTGGTCTGTGCTTTTCCCTTTCTTTGGGGGTTCTCTCCCTAGCCTTGATGGTGATTGGCAGATAAATGCCATCAAAACCTCAGGTACTGTAGTACTTTTACTGTATCCACATTACTCTTAATTCAGTATATTGGTATTAAATAGAAATGGTGGGTGAACTGGAGGAGATGCAGGTGGAAAATGACTGAGCAAATGAGTCGGGCATTAATTAGATTATTCTTGGTGTCAGAGTAGTGAACAAATGGATTGCTCTAAGAAGTGAAGTGGTAGAGGAAGACTCCATGCACAGTTTTAAAAATAAATATAATAAAGCCAAGAAGCCGCACACCAGTTGACTGAAATGTTGAGAGGTGGGACCAAAGAGCCAAAGCTCATCTCCACACTTTGAGCATACACACACACACACATTCATATATACAGTAATTACTTACACATGGTATTTGTAGAACAGCCCAGGTGGTGCAGTGGTAACACACTGACTGACTGAGTTGATTGACAGTTGAGAGGCGGGACCAAAGAGCCAAAGCTCAACCCCCACAAGCACAATTAGGTGAGTACAACTAGGTGTGTACATTTTCTCTGTGCCTCATGAGTGATTTAGTCTGGATTGAGCCCTGACCAGGAAGGATTAACTGGGTGCCAATCCCTAACTGTTCACCCCTGTTTTACCCAACAGTAATTGGATACATGATTGTTAACAGAGTGGCGGGTTGTGTTCCAAGGAAAACTAGCGGGTAAGGCTTACCATGAGCTATAGGAAGATAAAGTCTGCTTCTGTGCCCACCTATGTAATTTAAAAAAAAAAACTTACCCTAGTGGTTGATAATATTCTATAGTATTCCCCAATACAGTGTACAGTATTATCATTAATATGTTCAAAGCATTTATATTTTCTCATCTTGACTCATCTTGACAAGAAAGCTTAATAAGTCTCCATACAATTGTTGATATTCGGCTGTGAATAATGATATCTCTCTTTTCACTTTCAGATGTTCACATTGATGACAAAGATGGTATTACAAACTAAAAAGGAACAGAAAGACCGACAGACAAACACAAACGATCCAGTGCGTCTCCATAATCCTAAAAAAGGCAAAGGAAAACAGAAATGCTGCTAGCAAACATAAGATGGTAAGTTTGTTTCCCGTGTTTGTGTGGATGCAGAGGTGAGTGTTCCTAAAATCTGGTTACTCTTTTTGCAGTTGATGTTCATGCTTATTTCATAATTTATTTTGTTGTATTCTACTTCATCATCTGATCAATGGTAAATAATAACCTAATTCAACAATCTTAATACTGTATATACTGTATTTTGGCGTCACTGGGTGATTTTGTCGTGGTCGCTATCAAGGTTGACGATCTCAGTGAGTGGCATTATTGGAGGTTGGGGCTGGTGGATACTGGGACCCAAAATATTTTTTCCAAGATTGGTATTATATTGTCAGAGTCCTTTGATGAGAGTAGAAGTTTCCAGAGCCAGCTGATTAGTGTAAACAACTTTAGAAGGAAACAAACATTACTGTCTTTGAGGGTTCAAAGTGGCTTCCCAGGCACATGTCTTGTGATGTACAGAATAGGAATAGACCTATGCCAAGTTATTTAGTCTGGCCTTACTGGACCAGTTCTGATCTTATTGAAATTGTTGGAGTTTGGAGAAAGTTTTCTTCATGATGGATGTTAACTCTATTAATGACTTGTTTATCCGGACTATATGGGAAAGATCTCTCATCGGATAAACAGGACATCTGAATAATCAGGAATTCTTACTGGGAAAGTCCAAAAATGAACTTATTAATAATTTTTTGCCCCCTATTCACCTAGCAGTAAATAAGTACCTGGGAGTTAGACAGCAGCTACGTGCTGCTTCCTGGGGGTGTGTAACAAAAAGAAGGCCTGGTCGAGGACCGGGCTGTGGGGACACTAAGCCCTGAAATCATCTAAAGATTACCGAAAACTTCACGAGAAAATTGCATTTCATTACTTTCAAGCCTGGTTTTTTTATGGGTGATCTCTTTTTGATGATCTCTTTTCATCTTCTTCCCCACAATTGAGCCGAGGCAAGCACCGGGGATGATTACTTAACCACTGTGATGCGGCAAGTTTATTGTGACATTCTCCCCATGGGCATAAAATCAAGTGTTTGCAAAATTTTCTGGGAGGAGCCCATATGGCTCCCTGGAGCTATCCATGGATGATATGGATACCTAACTATTTGGCATCAGTCGATGTGGGTGGAGTTCTAGGCCTACCACGGACCACGAGCGAGAACCTGACCCCCTCACAGAGGCACGAGGAGCAATAGCCCATAGAAATGCACATGTGATTTGGAGCATTTTATATCTGCCATCGACCAGGACAGGCACCCAGAAAGGTAAGCTCCACAAAACAAACCCCTATTCTGGTTAACAACGAAAATCATCAAACGAGTGGACAGAACTCCAAAAGAAAAAGAGGAAACAAGCATGACGTCACACGAGCCATGCCACATGTCTGTGCAGCTCCCCCCTCCCCAGGAGGGGGAAGGGGGAGCCCCAAACCCTCGCGCCGGCGATTCTCACCCCAGTTCCTCGGCTGATAGGCTCGTACATAGTTGTGTGGCTCCAGCTCCAGTCTTCTCTCAGTGCTGTTCATTGTTTTCCGTGCTGCTCTTACGGGGGTTGTGCGAGTTGGGAGTATTATTCTCAGATACTCGGGCTGCATGTGCTTAGTCATCTTTCCTGAGTGCCCTGTAAGTACCGCCCTCGGGGCTTGGGGTTCAATTCCGCAAGTCACCTTGGGTCTACCTCTGTTGGCCTTTTGCTGCTTGGCATTTGGCCGCCCCAAATGTGTGGGGGGTTTCAACCCTTGTTTGTCTTGGGGTAAGTGGTAGTTGTTGCACTGGTGGGGCACGGGGTACTGCGCAGCTAGTTTTCACCTTTTAACAGCAACCAGCTCTGTTCACTTCACTTCTGCTCGGAGGTTGTTCTTTTGCAAGGTTTTTCTTTCCTTTTTTGTTTTTGCCTGGTGGGGGGATCTGCCTTGTGTTCTCCCTCCCCCTCTTATATTAGGGTCGTTTGTGTGGTGGTACCCCCTGCTTCGCCCTCATGAGTGGACACGTCCCGAGAGTTCAGCTTTTAGCAGTTTGCTTGGTAGTTTGGGGTGCTGGTTAGCAGTACCCTGCCTGGGATAACCCTTGGCAGACCCAGTCTAGGGGCCCTGGAAAACCCCACGGGGGGCACTCTGGTCCAATGGAGGAGACCCCTGCGTCTCCTTTCGCTTTGTGCGAGTTTCAGGGTTGCTTTGTTCCCTTGTCTCAGGCCGACACTCATAGTTTTTGACTCCGTCATGCTGTCTGTTGGGTCAGAGACACATTCAGCCCTGAGTCCTACGAGCTTTGTTGCTTGTTTGTGACTCAATTCACCCACTCTGATGATGATTTTCTTTAGGGTGCAGGAAGCACGCGCGTTGCAGGATAGGTTTAGGTTATTGCAACGCGCTCGGGTTGTCGCTTCCCAGGACGCCCCAAGGCTGCCCTGCTTTGCCTATAGGGACTCGGACTTGGGGGTATTGGTTGCTTCGGCCTTGATTCCGTCCGCGCCCCTTCGTTCTTCCCCTTCGGTAGTTCATTCGGGCCCCCCCCCCCTTCCCTGCTTCCGGCCCCCTAAATGTCTGAGGGCTTTGGGGTCGGGGCGAGGGTTTAGGGGAACTCGAGCAGTTTCGGGGGTTGCCCCGTCTGGGGTGGCTATGGAGGCATTCGAGTATGTTCCTTCTGCCGTTGCTCTGGGGTCTGATTGGTGGGCCCCTTCTCTTCCTGCTGCCCCGACTTTTTCTTGTGAGGTCAGGGCTTTGGAGGACGACTTGGCTACGGGGCCTGAAGTGGAGGTTTCCGGGGTTGGGGAGGAGCTGACTTGGGGACCTTGGGTTCTGTTGGATTCCCACCTGGATTTTCTGTCCTGAGCGGGGTTTACTGTTGCAAGGAGTGGGGTTTTCCTTTCCCCCCCTCTGCGTACGATTTGGACTTGGGGTTCAGCTCCTCCCCGGGTTCAGTTCCGTGTCCCTGTGGATCCTTCGGTTCCGTCTTTTTAGATATTTTCGGCTTTGCGCATCTCGCCGCCTGAGGTGCGGTCGGCCATTACAGCTTACCTCTTGCACGACTCGGAGTATGCCTCCATAATGGATCCTTCTTCGTTCAGGTTTGGATCTTTGTGTCTTTCCTGGGTGCGTTATGAGGTTCTGGGGTCGTCCTAGCTTGCAGACTGCCCCTTGTTTTCGTTAGATACTTGGGATGCGTTCTGTCGGATCCGCATGTTTAAGAGGCGCGAGGCGTTGACGGTGGTCCAGGTTTACCTGGGGAGGGGAATTTCGAGCATCTTAATGAGTGCCATTTTGCTCCTGCCCTTCAGCAGGATATTGGTGCGGTTCAGCTTCATGTGCAGGTTCCTTCCCTGTCGGCTGCATTTGTGGCTGAGGACTTCCGTGCTTGTGGCTTTTTGGCTTTGGTCCTGTGTTTCTATTCCGTCCTGGAGCTGTCTTCGGATTGGCTTGCGGAGGATGTCGAAGCGCTTGGGGCCGTTCCTGGGTCTGGCGCCTTAGTCTCGGCTGCTCGTGCGCCGTCTGCTCTTTTGAAGGTGATTGTGCCGATCCTGCGGGAGGCGTTGCTGCAGTTTTTCGCTGCGAGTTTCGCGTATCAGGTGGTTCTAGTTTCCTCCTTGAAATCGGCTTGGGCGCTGGTTCTTCGGTTGTCGCCCCCCCCCTCTTGTCCTTTACTTTTTGCAGCCTCTGCGGTTGAGCGTTATATTCAGGGGGCTTCTTCCATTTGCCTCCCTATGTCTGAATTGTTGGTCTTTCGGGGGAACCGGGTGGTTACTTCACGGCGGGGTCGTGCCAGGGCTCGTGGTTCCGTTCGTCGGGGTTAGCCACAGGTGTCGGATTCGGTGCCGGTACCGCCTGCAGTCCCGACTGCGCCTGGTCGGCACGGTGTTCACTCTGCGCGCAGGTCCAGTTCTCGTAAGGAGCAGCGGCCCTTTCGTGGTTCGCCCCATTGACGGGGGTGGTAGGGTGGGGGGAGGCTTGCTTTGTTTGCTCACACCTGGTCTCACAATTTGTGGGCTTTTCGGGTTGTTTCTCTCTCCTGCGGTGGTGTTGGGTGGTTTCTCTTCCTTCGGGGGGGATAGGGGCTGACGGGGCAGGCTTCCTCTCTTGCACTCTGTCGGGTCATCTTGGAGTGGGTGCGCTTGGGCGTGGTCGAAACGACGCCGTCTCTCAGGTGGGTCTCCCGCCTGTTTCCAGTTCCGAAACGGGACTGTGCGGACCTGTGGTTCATTCTGGACTTGTACCGTCTGAACCCTTGGGTTTCTTGCCCCTAGTTTCGAATGACCACTCTGTCCCAGGTCCGGCTTCTGCTGGAGCCTGGCGCTTGGATGGTGTCCCTGGACCTCAAGGACGCGTATTGACACGTCCCCATTCATCTGGGGTTCCAGGAGTGGCTTGGGTTTTGTTGTGGGGCGTCAGTGTTACCACTTTCGTTGTCTACCATTCAGGTTGAATCTGGCACCTCGCATGTTCACACACCTTACCCGGGTCGTGGTAGCCCGTCTGCGTCTGTTAGGTGTTCGGGTGTTGGCTTACCCCGACGACTAGCTGATTTGGGCCCCCAGTCGGTCCGTGTGTCTGTTCGCCAGGGATTTGGTGCTTTCCCAGCTCGCCGGGTTTGGGTTCCTGGTGAACTGGTGGAAGTCCCATCTGGTTCCCCTCCTCCCAGGTTCGGTCCTGGCTGGGTCTTGTGTGGGATTCTCGGACATCTTCCTTGTCTCTTCCTCCAGCGTCTCCTTCGGCTGCGTTCCCGCATGGGCTTGTTTCTGGGGGGCTCCCGGTCACCCGGTGGTTGCTCGAGGGTCTGTGCAATAGCCTGAACTTTGTGATGTTGGTCTACCCGCAGGGTTGGGTTTGGCTTCGTCGGCTGTTCTGGCTCCTTCGGGGACGTCCCTTCCGCCTCTCTCGCGATCGCTGGGTTCGATCCCCGGGGTCCTTGTGTCGGCTGCTGCGTCGCCGGCTTCCTCTTCGGGTTTTTTTGGGATCTGTGCCTTGGCGCCTACCGGAGCCCTCGCTCGATGTGTTCATGGACGTGTCGTATCTTGGCCGGGGCTTTGTGA